GCGGAGAGGAGGTAGAGGGGCGGGGGCTGCGTTAGGGGCTCTCTAGGGGACGGGAATCCTAGGGCGGAACCTTGGGGCGACCCACGGGTGGGGACAGCCATTAAGCAGTCCTCCTTCTTCTGTGCCAGGCACTGAATTGGGCTCTTGAGCAACATCTCTTAATCCTCAGAACGTCCCGGGGAGGTAGGTACTGGTGTTATCCCCATTTTACAGATGCACACTTACTATGGGGAAGCATAACTTTTGTCTCCATTTTGAATACAAAAACCGAAACTCAGGTTAATTAAGTTCAGGGAGACCCATGAGAAGAGGACACGAACTGTCTGGCCTATGTCCCAAACCACTCTTAGGGGCATGGAGAGGGGAAAGGGTGGAGTGGGGTGCGCAAGGAGTCCCCAGAGCGCAGAGAGCAGTCAGGATATGCTTAACATCCAGAGGCTTAGGAGGGCTTTGGAGAAGAAGATAGTGGCAGAGCATCAGGAAGATAGGCACAGTGGTATATCTTGGTGGTCACAGCTGCAGACACAAAACTACCTGGATTCAGGTTCTCAGTTTCTATCTTTGTAAAAGGAGACTATGGTGGTTCCTGCTCATAGAGTTGTGTGAGGAATTCAGGGAGATAAGCTCAGCACCTAACCTGATGTGCACTTGGTGCACTGTGATTCCAAACTGTGTTGTCAGCAAGGGTGCCAAAGCATGGATTTCTGGATTGAGCCTGACTCCTGTGGAAGGAACCTTGGGACTTTCTCATGCCGCTTTGTCTCCACCAATGGCCTTCTCTTCAGCTCCACAGGGTCCCACCTCCTGGGCCATGAGTGAGCTGAAGGACTGCCCGTTGCAGTTTCACGACTTCAAGTCTGTGGACCACCTGAAGGTCTGTCCCCGCTACACAGCAGTGCTGGCCCGCTCTGAGGACGATGGCATCGGCATTGAGGAGCTGGACACCCTACAATTGGAGCTTGAGACCTTGCTGTCCTCTGCCAGCCGGCGCCTTCGTGTGCTGGAAGCTGAAACCCAGGTGATACCCCAACTAGGGGACATCACCAGCGATGGACTGAGTCAAGTTACGGGATGGGTCATGAGTTTAGCTCCATCTGCTGAGGTTGAGGAACTGATAGGAAGAGAAAGAGACTGAGATTGGACTCCTGTAATACATAAAATACACATGAGCTGGGCGTTGTGGTGCGCGCCTGTAATCCCAGCATTTAGGAGACTGAGGCAGGAAGGTCAACCCTATGAGTTCCATGCCAGCCGGCGCCTTCGTGTGCTGGAAGCTGAAACCCAGGTGATACCCCAACTAGGGGACATCACCAGCGATGGACTGAGTCAAGTTACGGGATGGGTCATGAGTTTAGCTCCATCTGCTGAGGTTGAGGAACTGATAGGAAGAGAAAGAGACTGAGATTGGACTCCTGTAATACATAAAATACACATGAGCTGGGCGTTGTGGTGCGCGCCTGTAATCCCAGCATTTAGGAGACTGAGGCAGGAAGGTCAACCCTCCATGAGTTCCATGCCAGCCTGAAGGACATATCAAGATCCTGTCTCAAATGGGGGGGGGCACATAAATTTGTGTGGTCCTCATCCTAACCACCTTTATGTTCTGGATTCTGTGTAAGTCAGCAGAGAAATGTCAGGATACATTGATACAGCAGGGAATTTGCAGGTAAAGGGAATGGGGAGACCTGGATTTGAACTGCACCTTAGGTACTTATCAGTGTTCCTATTACCTGGGTACGTGACTTTAAGAAAGTTACCTTATGCCTTTGAGGCTCAGTTTCCCTGCTGTCACATTGGGCTGAACAATAGAAACTACCTTTATAACTTTAGTGAGAAAAAAAAAAAAAAGATTGTCTGGGCTTTATTGGCACAAGCGTGTAATTCCAGCTACTCCAGAGGCTGAGGCAGAAGGATCACAAGTTTAAGGCCAGCCTAGGCTATGCAAGGCTGGCCTAAACACTTGGAAGACCCTGTCTAAAATCAGTGAATGAGGATGTAGCTCAGTATTCCTTGAGTTCAGTCCTCAGTACTGTAGAAAAAAAAATTTTTTGCAAAGGCTTAGCCAAGTGTCTGACACTAAGAAAGCAATCAAATATTATTTACTGGTACTATGACTATTTTTATTCACTGCATGAACATTCCCTGAGCCCTGTGTGCCAGCCACTCTGCTGGATCCTACTCTTGAGCAGGATGGTAAAGATAAACATCCTGCTCTCCGATAGCTTATAGTCCACATGAGCAGTACGCAGGTGTGCTGTTCATTCCAGTATGTCCAGCTATGCAATTGGGTCTGCAGTGGGCGCACCAGGGGCCAGGGACTCACAGAGGAAGGAGGTGCCAGTTCAGTTGGATTTCAGTGGACAAATAAAATTCACATGTCCCTGGAAAGCTGTGGAATCTTTCAAGGAGGGCTATGGCACAGTCAGTTATATTTTAGCCTCTTAAGAAGCAGGTAACCAGTGGGGAAGAGGTGTCCCAGGTGATGTTTGAAGTGAAGATTTGCTGGAAATCTTGCTTGTGTTCACCAGAAAGTCCCAACTAGCATATTTAGCAGGGCTAACAGGCATGGGTGTCAATCCTTACTTCTGTGCTACACAGTTTGTGACTAGCTGGGGTGAACAGAGGTGAGTTAGTACAGACAAAAAGTGAATGGAAGGGTGAGAAGTGTGTGAATAGAATTCTGTGGAATGAGACAGGGCCACAGAAAAAAGGCTGAGTTTTCAAAAATGAATAGGAGTTTCTTGAGCAAAAAAAAGACAGGGAAAGACCTTGGAGCCACCTTGGATTCTCATCCTTTATTCACTGGGGGAAAAGAGTATCCTGTATTTTCCCTTCTTCTCAAGTGACAGTCTGTACTTTTCAGATCCTCACTGACTGGCAGGATAAGAAAGGTGACCGGCGACTCCTGAAGCTGGGTCGAGACCATGAACTTGGAGCTCCTCCCAAGCATGGGAAACCCAAGAAGCAGAAACTGGAAGGGAAAGCGGGACATGGGCCAGGCCCTGGCCCTGGGCGACCCAAATCCAAAAACCTTCAGCCCAAGATCCAGGAGTATGAATTCACTGATGACCCAATTGACGTGCCACGGATCCCCAAGAACGATGCCCCCAACAGGTTCTGGGCCAGAGAACAGAGGGGAGCCAGAGCAGGGTTTTGGGATTCTGGTATCGGAGGCTTGCTGGGGTGCTGAATTGAGGCTGGAGGGGCACAGGGTACCCACTCTGGTTCTGCTCCTCCCTACAGGTTCTGGGCCTCTGTGGAACCCTACTGTGCCGACATCACCAGTGAGGAGGTGCGCACACTAGAGGAACTCCTGAAACCCCCAGAAGATGAGGCAGAACATTACAAGGTAGAGATCCGGGGCCTGCACAGACATAGGAGGCCAGATAACAAAACCTTCTTCTGCCTTCACCAACCCCGCCCAGCCTCCTGGTGGGCTTCATTTAATCCACTGAGACACCCAGGCTTAAACTCACCACTTCTGGTATCGCCTGGCTTTGGCCCCCTCCAATTGGTCACCACAGCTTCAGGCACCTACACCAGTGAGGTACACTCTTGTCCCTTCCCCTCCATCCCCTCTGCTTTGGTTTAGTCCCTCATGATCACTTATCCAAAGAGCCTTTTAATGTTCTCCCCACTTTTAGGTCTCCAGAGGGATTTTTCTTCCTTTAATATAGAAAAATAGCCAGGCGCAATTGTGCACACCTGTAATCGAAGCTCTATGAGAGGCTGAGGCAGGACTTAGTGAAACCCTGACCCCCCCAGAATAAAAAAGAGCTGGGGTGTGCTGCAGCACAAAGGCCCTGTGTTCAGGCTTGCAGTGCTCTACAGCTGGGCCTGCAGGCATGCATCGCTGCACCTGGTTTAAAACGTTTTTAAGCTTCAAGCATGGTTCTTTAAAGTGCTGTACTACAGTTAAGAAGAGCCCCCAGGGGTAGAGCTCTCCCATAAGTCAGCTGCCATTGTCACGTGGGCTCATGACATAGATTCCTGGAGTCTTTTGGCTCCTGCTAGCCACAGATTGAGCCTAAGTTCCTCTGTGTTTAGTGGCATGGCCCCGTGCCCCTCCATTTTCATATGACAGGCCCTAGGTTTAATCTGTGGCACCAAAAGCAAAAAAAAACAACAGTAACAAAATTATTTGGGAACTGGGGATGTGGTTCTGTCGTAGAGCTCTTGCCTAACATGCACAAGGCCGTGGGTTCAATCCCTAGCACCACAATTAAATAAACAGTCCATGTAGGCAATAGTAAATTCAAGCAACACAAGAAATAATTCCTTCTCACTCCTGACCCAGAGGCCTTCATTTTTCCTTGCTAGAAGCAGAAGCTGTGACTAAAAGAATATGAAAATGTGTGACTATTTTACCTATATCTTGAAATTGTTCCATATCAATTTTTCTGTGTGTTCTGGTTCTTTATGAGCCTAGCTCCCTTACTAGGAGAGTAAGTGTGGAGATTTTATCTCTTCTGTCCCTTCCGACCTGTATGTCCACCAGCCCTGGCCCTGGGCTAGGGCCTAGGGAGACAGATAAGTGAATGAGCAAAGGAGGAAGTGAAGGGAAAGCTTCTGGGCAGTGCTGAGCTCAGGGTAGGGCCTGTGCTGTGCACTCCAGAGCCAAAGGCTGATCCTCCCCACAGATCCCGCCTCTGGGGAAGCATTACTCCCAGCGCTGGGCCCAGGAGGATCTGCTGGAGGAGCAGAAGGACGGGGCCCGGGCAGCAGCTGTGGCTGACAAGAAGAAGGGTCTCATGGGACCACTGACTGAACTGGACACTAAAGGTAAGCCCCTTCCCCCTGCCCATGCCAGGCTAGCACTTGATTTCTTAGAACTTCATTCACCTATTGTCCGCTTCTCCGCACACTCAGATGTGGATGCCCTGCTGAAGAAGTCTGAGGCCCAGCATGAGCAGCCGGAAGATGGGTGCCCCTTTGGCGCCCTGACACAGCGCCTCCTGCAGGCCCTGGTGGAGGTGAGCACTCCAGCTCAAGACAGAAACCAGATTTCCTTCCTGTTTTAACACTTAATAGCTCAATGAGCATTCACAATTGAGTTTGTGTCACCAGCCTGGAGATCACAAAACACTACCATGTCCTAGAAGCTATTTTCATACCCCTCCTAGTCTCTGACCTCCCTGGAGGTGGCTACTCACCCAGTTACTCTTGCTACACGTTGACTAACGGTGGGTCCCTGTACAGTCTCCTTTCCACACATCCTCATACCAGAGGCCAGGACAGTGGTGGCTCCATGTCACATACGATGAAATGGGCTCAGCAAAGGAACTCTGCTTAATGTCACACAGCTGACAAACCTAGTAGTATTCAGACCTTATCTTCAGGGTCTTCATCCTTACACCCGCTTCCTGGAGTTCAGCAGACCATCTCACCTCATTGTGACTCACATTTTTCTTTTGCCCCAAACACAGTATTTTATTTCCCTCTGATTACCAGAAAGGAGTAAGGAAGGTCTCTGCCTCACATCATCAGAAGCAGATCCCACCTGATGATGGCTTTGCATTCTGGGTGTGATTACCACTCCAAGAAATTGAACAAGAAGAGCTGGGTAAAATCCCAGCTGCTCAGAAGGCTATGGCAGGGAGATTGTGAGTTTGAAGCCAGCCTGGGCAATTTAGTGAGACTTTATTTCAAAAATTATTTTAATTCCCAATGGTAGGGGGGAAAAAAAACAAAACAGAACAAGAGGAGTATGTGAAAAGCTTTTTGGTCTGTGACTAGCTGTGGCTCTTCTTTCTTGATCTCTCTCTGCACTGAAGAGACTGTCCCAAGACAGCTGATTGAAAGGAAGCCTGGGAAATGTAATGCAGCTCAGCTTCTGTGGAAAAAGGAGAGCATGGTATCGGGACAGCTTGCAGCCCCTTTTCCTTGTGCTTTGCACAGGGCTGGGGGCCCTGCTTAGTGTACCTCACCTGTTCCCATTTCCTTTACCGAGGAGTACTACAGTCTGTCTTCTGCATTCCCTTTGGGTGTCAATACCAAAAAGAAAGAAATATCTAGCAAGCCTTCCCGGAAGTGGTGGGAAATATTACAGGGTATTTCTGATCTGTGAAGGCTGTCCATGTAGGTCAGGGAGGAGTAAGAAAATGGAAACACTATAGTTCTTTCTCTCTCCACCCACTGCTGTGGTCTTGTAGGAAAATATTATTTCCCCTATGGAGGACTCTCCCATTCCCGATATGTCTGGGAAAGAATCTGGGGCCGACGGGGCAAGCACCTCTCCCCGAAATCAGAACAAGCCCTTCAGGTAAGTGATGTCCCAGCTACACTCACAGCTTAGCCATCTTGACAGGAAGTCTTTAATGGAGAGGCTCAGGGCACTCTAGTGACTGCTGGAGTGCTGGCCCAGGCTGTTACACATGTAGGCTGAGTACATAGTGGTGCTCATGTAGGTGACCTAGATATCCAACTGAAAGAGAGTGACTCGATAAACTGTCATGCTGTCTTATGGTGAAATAGCCTGCAGCTTCAGTCATATCAGAGAAGCATGCCTAACTGACATAAGAGGGTGTGGACAATAGGGTACCAGATAGGGAAAATTCATTGTAGCCCAGTTCAGAGAGTATGATCCTATTCTTACTTAAATGTCAGTGTGCGTACATAGGAGAAAAAACCTGGAATGGTATATAGCAAAGTATTAGAATTAATGCTAACACAATCTGAAACACACATGTATTTGGGGGTGTGCCACAAACAATAGAAAGGTGTTTGCTAGCCTCTGAACTCTGGGAACCTCTGAGGGTCCTCCACCAAGCCAACCCTTGAGCTCAGGGGCTGCTCCCTGGATTCTGAGGAGCCTCCTTGCTCACAGCGTGCCACACACCAAATCCCTGGAGAGCCGCATCAAAGAGGAGCTGATTGCCCAGGGCCTGCTGGAGTCTGAGGACCGTCCCGCAGAGGACTCAGAGGACGAGGTCCTAGCTGAGCTGCGCAAACGGCAGGCAGAACTAAAGGCGCTGAGCGCCCACAACCGCACCAAGAAGCACGACCTGCTGAGGTGAGTGTGAAGACAATGGGCCAGGGCTGGCCAGGGAGCTGTTGGCCACCATGGTCGTCTCCTAGGGCTCTGACAGGCTCTTGCACCCCCTGACTGGACCTGTGCGTCCCCAGGAGATCCTTGAGGAAATACGGTGCTGGGAGCCACCCCATGGGGCACATTCAGATTCTCAGCCTACGAGTGGGGCACAGGCATCTAGCATGGACTGATGGGAGTTTTTCATGTGTAAAAAACATAAAATTTATACTCCTAGCCATTTTAAGTGTACAGTTCAGTAGCGTTGACCATATTCATGTTGTCTGGTTTATTTTTTAAGTCTTTTCAGTTGTATTTTCATTTTTCCTCACAGTTTCATTTTATGAAAAATTTTACACACAAAGAAGATCAGAGAGAATGTAATAAATACCAGTGTACTCTTTCTGTAGACAGATCAGCTATTAGCATTTTGTTGGACATTATATTTATTGGTGTTTTCAGGAATCAGTGTCACTCGTGTTACAATGGTTTCTGTCCGTTTCACCCTGCACTGGTCACAGCAAGGGTACAGGTGACATTTGGAGGAATGCAATAGTGTGGTAGGAGCTGCCCATCCATTAGGGAGATGAACAACTCAAACAAGACTCCTTGCTTCTCCATATAGGTATGTCTTAGCTTCACGCAGCACCGACAAGGCAGGGCACACTCTTCATCTGGCCAGCTCTTCTGTCTCTTCTGGCATTGTGCTGTGGTCTAGGAGGCTTACAGGCTACTGGCAGGTGGTCAGAGAGGACCTGCCTTGTGAGAGGTCTGGGAGCTGCTAGGGCCACAAGGATGAGAGGAACCAAAGTGTGCTGAGTACCAACTGTGCAAGGGACTTCTGGGCACCTCTTTTTTACTCCACAGTGACCCAGGAAGTAGTGCTGCGTAGCTGTTTACTGAGGAGATAAAGGCCTAGCAAAGTGTTTTGCTGGTCACAAACCCAATATACAGCTGAGACCTGAGCCCCAGGTTGAATAAATCCAAGCCTCTTTCTAGTCCACATTCCCTCTGAAGGGCAAGAAAAGGGAATATGGATGAAAGAGGCACTGAGAAAAAGGAGCAGGAGAGGAAGAGAGAATAGTAGGGATATGCAGTTACAGAAGTAATGGGCAGTGGAGAAGTGGCCAGAGTACAGCCCCTAACCTGCCTGCTGTGGACCATCTGTAGGATGCTCCCTGACTCAAGCAGAGCTGTCCTGGAAATGAACCAATTGGTCCAGATCTTTAGGTGACCTTCAGTCTCACTATCAGTGGGGCTTAGAAGTCAGGACACACACACATCCTCACTCCACCCGTCCCCCCAGATCCTCCTGTAGGCCTGAGGCTGAGTGACTTAGCTCGCTCTGGAATGTGGATACTGAAGTAAGTGGGCCTTCTGCTGGTGCCAGACAGTTTTTAAATAACATTCTTTAGAAACAGTTTGGGATTGGCCTACTCCAGATCTCCATTAAGTGTGCAATCTTCGGGTATTTCTGGTCATCTTTGAGCCTCACTGGTAACATGGGAATAATAGTTCTTATTTTGCAGGATTGTTATAAGGCTTAACCATGTGTGTTTGGGGTTTTTTGAGGGTACTGGGGATCAAACTCAGGACCTTGTGCTAGCGAGGCAAGCGGCAGAACCACTGAGCTAAATCCCTGGCCCCATTTTTGAGTTTTTTGAGACAGGGTCTCGCTATGCAGTTTAGGCTGGTCAGAACTTACTGTGTAGCCCAGGCTGGCCTTGAACTTGCAGTGATCCTCCTGCCTCTGACTTGTAAGTGCTGGGATTACAGACATGCACCACCATTCCCAGCTATGTGTGTTTTAAAAGATGTCATTTTCTTAGATGAGTTTTAAATTCACAGCAAAACAGAGTGAGGTAGAGAGATTTCTTGTAAACCTCCCTGTATCCATACATGCATTGAACCCAAAGCCTTGGACATGCTAGGTAAGTGCTCTATCATTGTGTACAGTCCCAGCCCTTTAATTTTTTTTTTTTTTAATGGTGTAGAGGCTGGGTGTGGTGGTGCACGCCTGTAATCCCAGCACTTGGGAGGCTGAGGCAGGAGGATCACTGTGAGTTTGAGACCAGCCTGGGCTACACAGTGAGTTCCAAGTCAGTCTCACCTACATAATAAAACCCTGTCTCAAAAAACCAAAAATATAAAATAAAATAAAATGGCACAGGGCTAGGAATTTGGCTCAGTGGTTCTGCCATCTGCCCCACAAGTGCAAGGGCCCAAGCTCAATCCCCAGTACCAAAAATAAATAAAAATAAAATGGTGCAGCTCAGTGGTAGAGCAGTTGCCTAACATACCCAGTATCCTTCCCCACAAAAAGTACCTATCACATAATACCTCATGAGCACGTTCAGTGATGTGGCACTTCGCTCTGCTGGTACAGAATGGCCCAGGGAATGCCAGCCTGGGACTGTGGGGGTCTATCTGCAGGCAGCAGGGGTCCCACTCTGGAAGTGGCTGGTTGGTCCCCACAGGTTGGCAAAAGAAGAGGTGAGCCGGCAGGAGCTGAGGCAGCGAGTCCGCATGGCAGACAATGAGGTCATGGACGCCTTTCGAAAGATCATGGCTGCGCGGCAGAAAAAGCGGACACCCACCAAGAAGGAAAAGGATCAGGCCTGGAAGACGCTGAAGGAGCGGGAAAGCATCCTGAAGCTGCTAGATGGGTAGCCCTTGCCCTGCCTCAGCTGTTTTCCCTACCCTGAGGGAGGCCCACTTCCTTCTTTGGGTGCCAGATGCCTTGCTTGGCCTGGGCTTCTCAGGTCTGGCGAAGTCTGTGTGGTCTGGAGGGGACTGTGGCCCTCTTGACTCTTTAGGCCCAGCTCTGTCTAACCAGGATCCAGGAGGCCCTGCGAGGCTGGCCTGAAGCCCAGTTTCTGCTTGGCCCTAAGATGGGGGCTTCCTTTTTGGGTCTTCCTCTTTTCCCTCTTCCCCATCTTGCCCCTTCTCTTCTCCCCCTCAAGGACTTCTTCCTGTGGTTTTGTAAAGTGCAAATTTAAGAATAAAGTGACTGCTGTGGTTTTGCAAAAAAAAAAAAAAAAA